CATGGAAAACCAGCAATTTGGAACACACTGTACATATCTGTTTTCATTGCACCCACTAAGCTGTCATTAGGCGAATGGGAGAAGAGAGGGGAGGGGGGATTTATTTTGGTGGACCGGTTCGGGTTACTCAGTCACTGATCTTTTGCCCGAATTTCTAGACTTTTGTCCAAGCATTTTATGTGACTTTAAACTCATTTGTACTGCGGGTCCTAATGTATTCATTTGTAAAACAAAATGTTCCAGAACCGTGCGTAGTTATAACAGTACATATTATTATGGATCGTATCATTTCACGTCTCAAAGGCCCCTTATTATATGAGAAACTGTTTTCTGCATACCCATTACCTTATGTAGCAAGTCTGAAATTAATTTGGCCAATAGAAATTTAAATTGTTATTTTGTTTCTTGTCTTGATGAAGCCCGGTCCGAAAGTGGGCGAAACGATGACTTTTCTTTGAACATTAACACGGTCCTATCCCGGAAGTCGCCCGCAACTTAATAACTGGCCATTTTGCATGTATTTCGTACCAGAGAAATGGATATTACTGTGACGAATACAGCAGCTTTTAAAAATACGATTAACCATGAAATTTGACGTTATTGTGATAGCTTAATCGAATTGTTTTCCAATTATAAACGTCGTTTAGTTTAAAATAATCAAAATCTTAAATTACACAATTTGCCAATATAATATATAGCAGGAAATCAATCTTGCCGTATAAATAAGAGGTAAGTAATCATTTATGGATTTGAAGCGAACAAACAAAGACTTTGTTTTCGAACGATCATTGCGTATTTGTTTCAATTTTTCCCCTTTTTTACAAATACCTTTAAGGTGGAATAATACCGAAAGATTCTGAGCCAGATTAATTAAATTAGGTTAAGGATTAATTTACATTTATTTTTAAGTAATTCGAACTGACGATAAGGGCTATTAAAACCGTTAATGTTGATTGATTGAATACACCTTAGCCGCAAGAACTGCAATGATCTTTTGGATCTGAAAACCGATGTTCGTGTAGAACTGCTCAAGCTTGAAATATGAAACGCATCCCTATAGTTCAGGGCAGTGTATAATAAAAAAGTTACACTGCAACCGAGAGACGAATATACCTACTTTCTTCTTTAATGAGACTTTTTGCTTAGTATTTTAACTAGATACTGTTGAGGGGTGGATACTGTCCCTTATAACCTTTGAATCAAATTTTCTCAGAAACCGTTATACGCAACAAAGTAATAATAATAATAATAATAATAATAATAGCCAAAATAGGTTTCAACCTTGCATTTTGTGATAACTTTATGAAACTTTCAGAGGATGTTCTAGACACCCTAAGGTTCAATTTCAGCTATGCCGCCACCCCCGCAACCCCGGACGGCACTTGCTATAGCGGGTTTCTTAAGCGCAAGGTAGCATTTCAATACCCGCCCATAAAATGGGTCAAAAATGTATGTCTAGGGTTTGTTTTGTATTTTCTTACATCTAGGAAGGTTGAAGGGAATTGTCAAATACCCAGGGAGAATTTATTTAGGGTATTTACCGTGGTTTACCTATTTTTAAGGCGCTTTTAACAGTGCGGACTAGGGAATGCAATCCCGCAGCAAAATCTCAATCCCGGTATTTGCGGGATTGTTAGTTGTTAATCCCGCGGGATCCCGGTATTTGCGGGATCTCGCAAAACTTTAAATAAATTGGCAAATAAGCAATTCTGTGCGGTTAACTTCTGTATTAAAATAAATCGCTAATTATCACAATATTTAACAAAAAAAGTACCTTCGGCCTAACTTAGAACTCAAAAAAACTTTACCTGTAAAGCACAACAATTATTTAAAAAATAATTCGCCGTTATCAGTTTCATTAACAAAGTAAACAGAGTCGTCCCCTTGGTAGATAAATTCCTCAGTCCCGCAAATCCCGCAGGATCCCGCTCCATTTATGTGCGGGATTAATCTCGCAAAAATGCTGCGGGATCCCGGTATTTCGGGATCCCGCAATCCCGGTATTGCATTCCCTAGTTTCTAGTCTATAACTTTTGATTGAGAAGTCTGATCGAAAAAGTACGAATTGTTTTGGATTCTACGCACCAAAATTAATAAGAAAAAGTGTTTTCCCGAGAAATTTTGGTGCAGTCGATTTTTGGTAAAAAAGGAAGGTTATACACTGCCTTTTTTTGAGGTCGTCAAAAAAAATTGTCTCAGATCGACCCGGAAAAAAATTTTTCTTATAGAACGTGGCCCGTAGAATCCATAATTTCAAACAGTTCCAAGATTGGGCTACTAGTTCAAAAGTTAAAGCCCTTTGAATTTTCTTTCGAAATTGGTTTCTAGTCTATAACTTTTCATTGAGAAGTCTGATCGAGAAAGTACGAATTGTTTTGGATTCTGCGCACCAAAATTAATAAGAAAAAGTGTTTTCCCGAGAAGTTTTGGTGCAGTCGATTTTTGGTAAAAAGGGAAGGTTGTACACTGCCTTTTTTTGAGGCCCTCAAAGAAAATTGAAAAAATTCATCCTCTGAAAGTTTCATAAAGTTATCACAAAATGAATTAGGTTGAAACCTATAACCCCCGCACTATAACGTTTTTTGTATTACGCAATTTCCTAAGCTACAAATTTGATAACCACAATTTTTTCGATAAAAGATACCATTAGGGAGATTTTTGCGAAAAACCGTTTATCTTGACCTTTTGGGATGTTGTTGAGAGCCACAAAAGTAGCTTCGTGCAAAAATTCAGCTTTCCCCTATTTTTTCCACAATAAATTGTCTTGATTCCCCGTATTAAAACTTTTACATTATTTATCGTAACACAAACAAATTCGTTTTTTGTAATACTAAAACCCACTCAAGCATCTTAGTGTAATCTGAAATCAATCACAAATACTTACGGGTTTGGAAGTTTTGATGCGTTATTCATCTCATCTGATAAAGTTGCGGAAGTTCACGTTTAAAAATAGATAATCGGTATGAGATACTTCCCATTATGAGGTGTAATCACTAAAGTACTGCATTTAAAAAAAGAATCGCACACACTATGTAAATAATAGTGTGATTCGGAAAAACACGTGAGTATGTCTAACCACATAATCCGAGATAAACTGGGGTATGACTAACATCAACTATATTACCTACGTATAGAAAGATCTATTACGTATGTACGTCGAACCTCACCTTAGCTACTATCGTTTGTATATTCGAAATATACTTCAGTCGATGACTTTATCTGCATAATACCAGCCAATAGATCGAAAGACGCGATTTTAGAAACATTTCACGTACCAAATTTACGGTTCAGGAGGAGGATGAAGATTGCACCTCGAAAATAGTGATTAGAACCGTCAGAAGTAAAATGACAAGACTTTTGCATCAAAGACCTTAGGAAATTGGCGGAGTCGCTAAGACACCTGAATACCCAACCGGTCGAACGATCCTTGAGATCTCGCATCCTGTGGTTACAATAGTGTAAAGGGCCCAAAAACGTCCGTCCGTAGGGTTTTTAACGTTGTTTGGGCTCTGTTCTCCGTACATGTCATGCTACCAAAATTTGTTTGAAACGTATTAGAAAAGAAGAAACGCGAAGTTTCAAAGCGTTGGGACGATGCGTAGGGAGTTTCAGTGTACAATCTTTAGGAATTAGTAGGAAAGTAGCGGAATTTGTGGGAAATTAAAGGAATTAGTGGGAAATTCGGGGAATTACTCGAGAAATTTTAAGAGAATAATGGAGTTAATGGGGAATTAGACGAAACATGAAGCAAATTAATAGATTACGCAACGTAGTGTCAGATAAAACTGCTATCGCAGACGCCGTCACACCGCGCCGGTTTTGATTTTGGTTCGTCAAATGCATGTTGTAATTATTTTTTTCTGAAACTACTTTCGTCTCTAAAAAGGATGAAGAAAATCCGATTTTCCTTTCTAGTGAGGAAAGTAAAAACAATTGCTGTAATCTTAATAATGCCATTTAAAATTGAAACATACCCGCATCTAGATTGCTATGTGTCAAACTTCATTATTGGACTCGGACGTGATGGAACTTGAGGATTCCGATAATTCGAAGGTGTTTTCAGAAGTGATGTTTACGGATAAAAGAAAAGTATTAGGTACCATAGTGTATTCTATTCTTACACTATGGTATTACCTACGAGGTTTTCTATGAGCAGTCCTGGATTATTTATTGGTCGGATAATTGAAGATAGAGGAAACGTATATATTACAATTCAAGTATAGCTGGAGGCATTTATTTGGCCCCGAAAAGAAGACATTGTTGAGGATACACGGGCTTTTTCATTTTTAACGTACTTTGTAGACCAGAAATGAAAAATTAAGCCGGGATGACTCTATTCTTACCACGTGTTTTTTTATATTAATTAATTAACGGGCGTAATGAGGTATCATAACATCGTATAGGTACACACGATGCATTTTTTTCATAATTGTGGGGTTCCGTTCCGTGTGGTTCTGTGGACTTAGTTCAGTTTTTCCAACCGAACATGAAAACTATTTGCAAAACAAAAATGAGGCAAATTACAATTAAAATGAGTCATAAATTCTGTGTCGATTACTCCTTGTCTATGAAAAAATATGGGAACACAAAGATCATTGACATAACGCACTGAAATACCCTGTGAGGGGTGCTACATCAGTTCCTGAAGATCAAAATCACAAATTTTCACCTGTCCAACCCTGAAAGGGTTTATCTTAAAAAAACGCAATTGTGTCATGGATGACGCATAAAAGGCGCCTATCCTTCGATACAATATTGATATAAGATTTTGAATCACCACATTGTATCGATAGTGCTCATGCATATCTTACAAAATAACACAATCCAAATACGTGTATGACGCAATTTTACTCAAAGGGTCGTAAATGTAGTAGTAGTCACAAAGTAAACAATAGAATTAGGTGGAATTATGCCACTTAAAAAACGTAATTGTAGATGTAATCGTGTGCAAAAGATTAGGATAGCTCTCTTATAAATACGGCAAAAAATTATCTAGCTCAGTAGTATAGGTAACACTGTGCGTTGAAATACAGAACACCTGTCGCTAAAATGTATCCTTTACACTCGTCAGTTTTAATTGGTTTTTTGGTCGGGTTACTGGTTTGGGACACTTACATTGTCCAAGCGAAACCACAGCGTTCGACAGACATTGTTTCGCTCGAAAACGATCAAATTTGGGCACCCTCCGACAACGCAGTTGACGATGCTCCAGTTTGGGAGACAGTGGATGAAATGCAGCAGCTAAAGCCAAAGCGTTCCCCTACTGAACAGGACAAGAAGGTACCGCCTCGATGCCTTTGGGCAATTATTTCGTGCTGTACGGCGTCATCAAACGCACTCAATTACGATTGTTTCGAGCAATTGGGATGTTACGGTGTGTTTTGGGATAATAATCCTTGTGACAGTGACTTTGCAAACGCTGCAATTTCCAGTGCGATGAAATATTATGAAAAGAGATGAAATGTGTAATGTCATTATTATATTGTTTGTGTTAATACTGGTTATTTATTAAATAAACTTTTGTCTATTGTGGCGATGTTTATTAATTTTGCACATACACCTGTGTCAACAAACGCCTGTATTTTGTTATATTGTTTCCCTTTCGATAAAAAATTTATATACTGTTTTTAAGCCAAACATTTCAAATGGCCGAGACTTGGGTCACTACTTGGGGTATAAGACGTGTACTATTCTTCCATTAAAATGTCGGATTAGGTAAGTTACGCCGTTTTTCTAATAAAATCAAACATTTCTATCCCGTGAAAGCGCCCTTCTGAATAATCTTCTCGATATTTGGTACGTGTCCAAAAATGAATCCAAAATTAGTTTTCGAAATTAAAGCAATTCAGAAGCCCACATTTCTTAAAACTTTTGGTCATGGATTCTAATATACCTTGAGATAATACGGCACTATTATTTTGACTGAAGGCAATAAGAACTCTGTAAGCAATTGCAATAATCTCGAATGTATTTTAATGATACCAGAAATGGAGGTTTAAAAATCCGGAAAATTACGTATTCACGTGATTCTATTCATACAAAATTATGAGTGGGATTTTTTTTAATACATGGATAACATAAAACTTATATTAAAGTTAATTTTGTGTTATTATATTTAATAATATTCCAAACCCATTCCATCCACCGTTTGTTGTTTGACCAAATTTTGTTCACAAATTATCGCGATTTATCCTGCTATATCGGAAGGCAATACCGAGGGCAATACCCATTTCCTCTAAAGGCTGGGACCTTTTCTTAGACCCTATCTCGCTTAAAAACCTATCCAATAAACATAAGTGCATTCTACAAATAACTTTTTCGTTTCTACGCTTACAGTAATAATAAACGGTCAGAAATGTTTCTATAGCTCCTAAAGTTTAACATCCCTCAAGTTGTAATTTTGCCTTTGCTGGTGTAAATGAAGGGACAAATTCTTTGGCTTATTTTATGACTAAAAGTTCATATAAATATAGATCCGCAAACGCCTTATTACGGACGTGGATGTTATAATTCCACCGTACATTTTACAAATTAAAATTACTGTCAACACTATTAAAACAAGAGATTATCCAAATCGAACCAGAGCTACTGGCAATTTAGCTAACTAAACAAAACTATACGTATTGGTAAATGTCAACCACATACTTTCCCGTGGTATTGCACTGATGATAATCACGACCGAGGGACTTCCGGGATAAGAAGTCAGCCCTGTACCAAATGCCAGGTCCAGGTGTGTAACCAAAAGTAAATTATGGCTGTGATAAAGTGATTACAAATGATTCAAGTGTAGTACATTCCAACCACCCACCATGAGGATGAGTAAGTAGAAGAAATATACGCAAGGATAAAAAATATAATCGAGGAAAAAGGAGGTGGTTGTTGTAAAATCGTAATGGGAGGCTGGAATGCAGTGGTGGGAAATGGAAGAGATGGGAATGTGGTCAGCATGTACAATCTTGGAAAGAGAAATGAGAGAGACTGATTGCAAAGAAGCAAAAACGATAGTTACCACCAGTAACTAAAGAGAAGACTGTACACCTGGAAATCCCCGGAGATCATTACCAAAAGCAAGTTGGTTGATTTTTAGCCACCGGATAGGGTTTTATAGTAAGGCGTAATGATTTTTGAGTGTAAATATTTTTGTCTAAAATGAAAGAGCATTGATTTGTTACTGAAATATAAATGAAATAATCCTTAATTTTCGGCTCGTACTAAAATTACAGTACATTCTTTATGCTCTACTTAAAGCGCTTAAAATGTTTTGATTACAGCACTTATTCCCAGTCATAAGTAAAATGTTCTTCAGTGATACCTTAATGCCACAAAAAAATGATGGTATAGATATGTCAAGTACGTTTGGGATTAAGCACTTATTTAAGGGCTGGCAGGATAAACCCGGTAATTCCTACATCGTATTTTGCACAATACATACAAACATCAAAAGCAATCTAAATGGAGGTTTCGCACGTGCTTATAAGGGTGCCGTTACAGGAACAAGAAATAATGAACGGTGGTAGTCCAATTCACAACCGACGTTCTTACAATTTATTACAGAACCCCCATGACACTAAATTTTTAAAATGATTTAAAAGGATGACCTGCGGGATTGGAATGTAAATATTGAAAATGAGGTTTTTTTCTCCATTTAGATATTGTGAATTTTTAGTCAACTGGTTTATTAGGGCTGCACATTTTAACTCCAACATCGTATAAATGTTATTTGCTAAATAAAAATATAAAATTCTACCTTATGATTATTGCCGCGAGTGATAATCGACATCTATAAACATAACGCATGGGAAGGAGTTGCGACAGAATGAAAGTGATTAGGCACATGGTAATAATAAACATTCCGACAAGATAATTAACGGTAAAGATGGGTAAATATGGTATAAAGTTGTGAACTTTTACAGAGTTGTTGAACGTGTTGCATGTGCGTGTTTAAGGTGTAATCTTCTGCAATAGAACGAAAAATTGCAATAGGTAAATTTTTACGATAAACATTTAACTTTCATATACTGTTCAATGTACATAAGGTATTTTCCTTGATTGCAAATTAAGTGCTTTTTTTTACTCTAATTCTAATTAAATCTAATCGAATACATTACCATAGGATGAAAAGTAGGGGTACGTTGTCACTCGAAACATTTAGTATATAAAATGCTCGTGCGTATTTGGCTTTACCTTCTTCCTGATGCTGGTCTTAGAATCGAATAATCAACTCACGAAAGTACGTAAATGTACAATACCAACTTATCAAGTACGGGAATACCTAACTAAACTCACAGATGTACGCAGAATATTTCGTCAGTTAGATGTACTACTTTTTCCATACTAAATCATCCCTAGTACGCTGAAATTGAAATAGGATGCGTTTAGGGTTGCAATTTATACGGTATCGTAACTGTATTTCTTATTTCTGAATAAGTGTTCCTGATAATGCGTGGGGTTGCCTAAAGGAAAAACAGATGAAAATCGGTTTATTTGGAGCGCAAAGATACCCAGCTACTGTACCAAATTTAATTATCCTTGAATTATAAATAATAAAATAAGGCGCGGTTTTTACTGCCTATCTAATCCTTCACTGGACGCTATAATTTAGTCACTCCCGATAAGGGAACTTGTAAAAATTTAGCACGACCGTCCTGTACTTTGGAGTGTGGAGTGAAAAAGAGATTCGAGGAAAAACTTTCTGAATGAATGACGTATTTGCGATGCTATCGTCACGGAATTACAATATTTTCGTGTAGTTACGTATAAAACCAGAACGTGATCGACAATTTCATTCAGTCCGTGTAAGAGCGTCGTAGAGTGAACTAACATTCAGTTATTAAGGTTTGTTTTTCGCGATGTGCTCACGATTTAAAAATTGAACTGTCTATTTCTGTTGCAGAATGAGAGCGTTGTTGATCGTTTTGATTAGTGCTATACCTTTTGTTGTGGGCGCGCATGAGGAGGAGGATAGGGGTCGATTCTACGTAAAATCTGATCCAATTTCTATACTGAGACTTGTGAGAGCACAACCGAGATCTGCGTACACGAATCCAGGTTTCCCAGTTGATAACCCACCGAAAAAGGTAGTTTTGTCAAATGGTGACAATACGATAATACCCTTAATCTCAAAATATGGTGAATTCGATCCGAATGGTCCGGTTTGGACCGACAAAAGTGACATCCCAAGTCAACGAGTGATATCGCCGAAATTGTTTCAAGAAATGAAAAACGAAGTGATGCCACAGGAACCCATTGCAAAAGCGCCAGTGTCTGAAGGAAAAGGGATACCAAATAGTTGCGTTTGGGCAATTATATCGTGCTGTTCGGCCGCGACAAATAATGTGAATTACAATTGCTTTGAACAATTAGGGTGCGTCGGGTCATTTTGGGGCAGTAGTCCTTGTGACAGTGACTTTGCGCATGCAGCTATTTCAAATGCAATGAACTACTATCAAGCGGTGTAGTTTAATAATCAACGCCAATGATAACCTATTGTTCTGTTTTTGAGAACGAAAACTAATTGGTGCTGAAACTGAGGCTGTAAATATCATGTCAAGGAAGTGATAAAGAAGATCATGTTTTACCGAAATGCGATCTATTAAGTTATTGATTTGTGATATGTATTTAATAGCCGTAGGCAAAACTTTGTTTATAAATTATTATAAAAGGAAAGACCAAAAGTTGGCATTGATGATTTAAAAATGTTAAGTAAAGGTCACTGTTAAATTTACATATTTTAACACAAACCAGAATATTAACTTCCTTTTTTAACAGGCCAACGGAAATTCCAAGGAAAAATGCGTTTTCCGATAAACCGTAAAAATGGACGCATTTTTCTGCAATTTAAAAATTAAAAATCAATAAATTTCTAGCTGGTTTTATTTAATAACTATTAAAATTGTGTCTTTTTTTTATAAAATAAAAAGTCTCCTACATTTTTACCACCCGCACGTTAGTAAAAATACGGATGTGCACATTTTGAAGCACCAGAAATCCAAATCAAACAACAATCTCGATGATGTCGATTGGCCTGTCTAGCTGTACTCTCATTTTCGGCTAAACGGCTGAACCGATTTAAACCAAATTGAGCTGAAAGCTCTTGTGGGTACATAATAGCAATTTTTTTTAAAATTTGTCTACGAATTGCCCTTCATGTCTCAAGTTACCTATCAATCGTGGGCATTTCAAATATACAGGGTGTAGAATTGGTATACGCACCATACAGATTTCAACCCCAATTTCTTTATATTGAAATGTTTTCTCCCTTAATTATTTTACACCAAAGTTGTAAATAAATTGTTTGTAGATTGTAGAATTCTGCGTCTATTCATGTGCCCATTTATAATATTTCGTTGTGGGAAATCGGAAAAATTAAGGAAGTTATAAATTATAATTGTAAATCTAATTTTTGTTTGAATGATTTCACGGCATGAGTGATTTTAGTATAAATCGCTCAAATTAGATTTTTACGTAAATACCTACTAGATTCTAATTTATTTATTTTATCCGACTTCCCGAATTGAAAAATAATAAATGAGGGCATGAACAGACGCAGATTTTTCCATCTACAAGAAGCCTATCTACAACATTGCTCTGAATTAATTAGGGGAGAAAATATTCCGCTATAAGGAAATTAGAAATCCCTATGGTGCGTAAACCAGTTCTACATCCTGTATATAGAAGAAGAATATGAATTTGATATTTTTATGACCAACACTCAAGGCTTCAAGCTCTTCGATGTCTTGGATTTTAGAATGATCCGAGACCTTTGTTAGAAAAAATTTCGGGAAAGTTGCGAAAGGAATTTGCTGAATCCGGAACAAGTACGGAGATAATTATTAATTTACATATTTATTTATAGTATATTATTTAGTAAACAGCGTATAGGAAATTCCTCCTTACATCGTGTTTTCCGGTGGATCTAATAACTGGTGTAAATTTAATCACATTTATGACAGACAGTAAATGACAAGAATAATGACAAGACTTATTCTAATGTCTCTCACAGATCATGGGAATTTATAAAAATGAAATGTAGAGCATTTTTAAGGATCGTCTTCAGAAGGCCGAAGCTATAAGTTCTTACGGTATTTCTTTTTAATCTAATGAATACGTTTTTTGACAGAGTTTGAAAAACACTGCACCGTCGCACGCACTTGCATTTTTAACGAACTTTTTTGCCCATTTTAACATGAAACCTTGAATAAACGAAACACCTAATTAGTGGGTAATAGAAATTGGAATTGTTCATCTGAGATTTTGACTGGTGACTGGCGATTTGTTCTTTTTCGCTTTTTCACCATTTACCATTTATGTCCATTGATAGAGTGTGACTGATATAAATTATTATGTGTTTTGGTTATTATTATAGCTTAAAAAAAATCATTTGGTATATGATAGGTTACCTGAAACCATATTCCTGCGGGTTCCGAGTGTTCCCACCCCCGCAGGTCAATTAAGTCGTGTTAATTGCTACTTAGATCCGGTTATATTAAATTGCAAATGTTCGATTCTAAAGTTGCTATTAATATTTATTTGATTTTTGATATCACTCATTTGTTATCGCAGCCTTCAATGGTGCACTATTTTGATACACCTACTCCGCACAATGTTTGACGGTTCAATTTTGTTAAATTATAAAACGCCACAATGTTCTTCAAAATCATTCTTTTGAAACTTTTCACTCTTAAAATTTTGGCTTTCGGGTAAATATTTCTGATGTAGTCTTTATATAGTAACTTTTAAAAGTTCTGGAAACAATCCAAAAAAGGCGATTTCTTCCCTTTTGCACTACGATGGCAGTATTAAATTATACGGTACTAAATATTAAGGAATTTCTAAAAATCTAAGGATTTTAAAGGAAATTATACAGCAGACGAATTTCAAAGGAAATTTTGTTACAATAAATGAATTTCGAAGGTTTTCAAAAGTACCTACTGGCATTTTAGGTATTTATAATTGTATTTTAAGAAAACGATACGTATTTTGTGAATTTTAGTAGTGTAGGTATTTTTAGTGTGCATACATTTTTCTGTGGGTCCCCTTTGGTTGCATAAATTGTCTACTAGTTATCTTAGTCGTTTATTATATGAGAAACTAATGGGAATGAATTTATAAAAAGTTCTATAGTGGGTTATCCAATCAGCCCCTTACAACTAAAATATTTGCAATATTACACCACCTAATTGTACCGCGATTTAAAAATTTGAAAGGAAAATCACACTTTTTATTCATTTTGATGTTTAATGTAGCAAACCACAAACCTAAATCAAATGGTTTTCGAGTTTTTTCAAAATGTTTGGAAAATATATATAATATCTTCAGAGAGTAGTACAATGCCGTGACATAAGGCATAAAACATAGACCTATTTCACTATTCTGAAACTGAAAAAAACTATTTTTTAAATGATAACCCTATTTTTTCTGTTCAACCATGGTTTTAACACTGAAAAGTGAGGGCAACTTTTTATTATATTCCCATATTTAAAATGGACGGTTTTTGTAGAAAGGGGGAACGAAGCGAAAATTTGTGCAGTCATTGTAACATAATTACTTCAAAAACCATTCAGTTTGGTGTTATAATCACTTACATTCAATTCAGTCCATATTCTGCATAAATTTAAAAGGTATTATATAAATAAGACGTAATAATGACACTATGTATGTCGATTCTAAGCTCTTTTGTATACAAAAAAATGAACGACAATCTACCTATATGAAGTAAAAGTTTATATATAACGAATACTTCCCTCCAAGTTCTTTTCTGTCCACCTAAATACCCTCCTATAAAATGCTTTCTTAGCCTAGGACAATGTGTACTAACGTTCATTATGAACCAAGAAGCGTTTAGCGTTTCTTTGTTACAATCTGTGGGTCATACACCTATGACGTAGGTATCCATCAGTATTCAGTTGATGGTCCTTGAAAATTTGCAGATTTGTTTCGCATTGGTGTCTTAAACAAGACTGGCGACACAATGATCTTTTCTAATCCTATAAAGAAAGTTGACATGCTGATTCCAAAAGAAAAACTAGATTAAAATCTCACCTTACGCCAAAAAAACGGAATTGTGTATTTAGTACGTAAAGTGACGATTCCAAGAAAATAGAAAAATTTGTTAGTAAATAACCTCAAAGAATTACAATTGTATGTTCGCGTATAAAACCACATCGTGACCGACACTTTCGTTCAGACCGTGTAAGAGTATCCTACTGTGACGGACAGTTTTAAGGTTAGTTCTTCGTGATTTGCTACCATTTAATAATAAATTTCTGTTTTAGTTGCAGAATGAAAGCGTGGTTCGTGGTGGTCTTAATTGGTGTTATACCTTTCGCTGTTGGCGCAAATGAGGACAATGAAAGGTATCCAATTCCACTAATGAGGTCTGCCAGATTGCAACGGAGATCGCCTACGTACACGAATACGGGTTTCCCAGTTCATAACCCGCCGAAAGTTGTAGTTTTGTCGAATGGTGACGTTACATTAGTGCCACTGGTAGACAGAGGCTCTAATCTGGATAGTTCAGTTGGTCAAAACGGTATGGGTGCTCCTGGAACCAGTGCAAATGTGCCAAAAAATACCCAAGATAGTTGCGCTTTGGCAGTTATATCGTGCTGTTCCGCCACGACGGATGGTGTGAATACTTGCTTTCAACAGTTAGGGTGCATCGGGTCATTTTTGGGCAGCAGCCCTTGTGAGAGTGAATTTGCTCATGCGGTTATTGAAAATGCAGTTAATGCCTTCGAAATATAGTTAAATGAACATTCAAGTTCAATATCTGTTTGAACGGAACGAAGGATAATATGGCTTTGTATATATCATCTTAAGGAAGTGATAGATTTAGTCAAAATGCAAACCAATGTCACTGTCGAATATGGGCATTTCAATACAAATCAAAATGTAATTTTTTACTCAATATTCGGTTGCAAAAAGAACAACCCATAATCAACGACACATTTTTTTACAATTTGTATATTAAAATCTACAAGTTTATAACTGGTTTTATTTTTAAAGCGAAATAAAAAAGTGCACGACCGACTACGACTCCAATCTATACATCGCACAAGGAAAAATTAAAGGTATGATCAGAAGTCAACTTTGTGCAATCTAGAATTACACAAACGCAGGTAGTGTGCAATAATGCATTCCCAGTTTCCCACTAGATTACAATGTTTAATTGCGGACGGTAGGTACGTAATATCGTAGGAAGCTCATAAAAATCAGTCTCGGCGAGTTTATAAAAAGTATCATTTGAGATGCCAAGTACCAAATTAACGCTACCGATATGATCTCTCAAATGTACGCAGTTCTGGTATTTGCCTTGTTTCAAGGTTTCCCAGTACAGGTATCTTAATCAATGTTGACCAACGTTACGTTGCTCACGCGACAAACAAAAATGTTTAATCAGAAAAGTGAACTCACACCAAAATGAAAATTATGCAGGAAAAGGAAAGTGCGGAAAATTCAATATTTTGTATGCATTGATTTTGAAATTCGTATATTTCCTATGTACTTCGTTAAAATCAGGAAATCGACAATTTCAACACAGACGTGATATAACAAAATAAAATATTAGGTAAGTATCGAATTAACACCTATTTGCTAACCATACTCCATCCGGTACACAGATTACTTGTTACCACTTCCGGAACCGTTTGAAAACCATAGAAACCTAAACGGACACTGCGTACTTTGTATAGTTCAATCATCAGTTTAATTTAGTTTGGAAAATCAATAATAAACAATTAATTAAACAGGAACCTATACACGAAATATTCCTGTCATTTTCAGAATTAAATTGACAATTTTATGCGTAATGCAATTTTTTGCGATATTGAAATACATTGAAATGCCCTATCGTTACTGGTATTCCGATAATCGGGAGTAAATGAAAGCAGGAACGTTATAATGTCAACGAAAGTTGAAAAGTTCGTATTTATCGTATTTCTGTAGCGATAGAAATAATGTTGGAAACCGTCATGGGCAGTTTTTCGTGCCTACTTTATGTCAGGAAATTTTCATTCCCATGACAGTGGCAGTAACATTCAACCTGACTACTTTTCCGGGCTCCTGTCACTTTGCTAGGCACCCCCTGACCTTCTGAAATGCTTATCATGCTATATGACTGGCCTATTAAGGGCAAATGATTTTAAACTTTCGCAGTTTTATACTTGAACTCGATAAACCTAATATGAGGGGTTAATGAGTGCATAAGAGATTAACTGAATTTTTTGTACTCCGTGGACTACAGTAATTTGTTTTTTATTCCATTTAAGGGATTAAAGTGTCACTTTTTCTTCGCGAGGGATAAAAACACGACGAGGGACAAAAAGTGGCAATACACACTGAAATGTTAAAAACAATTTAATAAGTAACATTTCTATGTACTTTTTGGTCTTGCACCAAATTTTTTTTCAAATTTGGACTTTAACATTGAAATTCCTGTAGCTGATTGATTACAGGAGTACAAAAAATATCGTATATACTACAGGCCTAAAGGTGCGTCCTAATCTCTCGGGTGCTTGTTGCTGCTACGTTTCGGGTAACAATCTGCACCCTCGTGATTAAAACCCTCCCTTTAGTCCTTTGGTATATAATATACTATTTAAATGAAAATTCGATCTCGTAAGTGGAAAATGGTTATGTTGACAACATTTCATGTTCCTATAATTTAGGAGTATTAAAAACTCTGAAATGTAACAATGAAACACTTTTAGGAATGTAATTAAAACAATGTTGTTTTAAACGAAAATGGAAGCATCTCTAAAAGTTAAAAAAATCATTACAAAGATTTTACACTATTACTCACTGCAATATTTATACTTATATTTACGACAGTTATTGGGTAATTTAAGCACGTTTTCTATTGTCACTATTATAGTACAACTTCGTCATACGTAGGGAATTGCCTGTAATCGTATGTATGCTTCATCATCTACTCATCTCAAATAGCCTAATCGTGACCAAATTAGTATGCGCTAACCGTTTAATAATTTGACCTCGTTGAGAACAATCAGTGCAAAAAAACCCATCAAATAATTGGAATTACAAAACACACGAGACACTCATTCTAAATGTATATCCATTTCGAGTGCCAAAATTGTATTCAGACCTGCTACAGATAAGGTAATGGTTATAGAGTATTTGTACAACTAGAGAAGAAAGTGCTAATGTGTCAAACTTTGAACTCGAGTTGAAAAATCATCATCTTTTCTGAAATTACAATCAAAATTGAAAAATTATCATATGCAATAATGAAGTTTGATACAGATACGGTTGATATTTTCTTCACCCTTTTTGGAGAGGAAAGTAGTTTTTCATATATTAATAAGGGTCCTCTTCGACACGAGACGATGATCCATAATAATAATGTTATAAACCGACCACGTGCATAATTGTAAACCTTACGTACGATTCGGGAACATTTTGTTTTCAAATGAACACATTAGGTCCGGCATACGCATTATAAATGAGTTTAAAGAGTTACTTGAAATGCAAATCAAGAATTGTGAGGCACTGGTTAATTTAAAACTAACCTTTGAAAGGTAGGTACATTTTAAGTTGACTTGGTCAACAAATCCTAATGCTCATTTTTCGCCAAAAATATACTGAATAATAATCGCAAATCTTTGCTTTCGATTCGATAATATAGAAATATGCCCCTTTTTTAATTTAAATTTAGTATTTGGGATGGGTCTCTTGTATATCATTTTAATTTTTCAACCCGTTTACTGATTGTTTTAGTAATTTGTTCTACTTTTCCCATTCTTAACATTCTTCCGGTTCTTCGATCTCATTAAATCCTCTTTTTCAATTTACCTAACAGATCTTGAAGATTTCTTGGGTTTTCCGTTTTCTTCGCATTCTTGAAAAATGAAAGTAGGTAAGATATTTATAGGGGTATTTGCCTTGTATACTCGTATGTAAAAATTGAACATCAGATATTAGAGATTTGTATGTTCTGAGTAAAAATTTACGCACTGTAGGTATATTGCCTACATCTGAAATAATTATAACTTATTATAAATCACAATTTGTGTAGTTACTCCACTTCTTTGCAGTAACAAGAACGGTAACTAAAGCAAACTGTTCAGGTCTGTTATATGAGTAACTTACAATTATATGTTAATTGTTTAAGTTTAATCTTGTTGTATGCTAAAAATATTCATATATAATACCATAAGTAGTCGAAGTATTGTCGAATATTTTTGAGGTGCTGTCACGAATGCTAGTGGAGCAGCAGCTCAAAAATAATCTACAAATACTTCGACTACGAATGGTATTCGGAGGACTATTCAACGAATCAAAAGAAAAATTAAGCATAATTACCCACGCGAATGTATTTCCATGACAACAACAAACGTCAAAATAAATTATGGAAGTTGCTTTTCATTTTGCTATTGATTCTATTCGAACTTTTGTGCTCCAAGGTAATTCGTTATGAGTGATTAAATTAAAAGATGTGGTGATAAGTCGGTTGTCGAAATTGATTAACAAACTAAGAAGAATGTTCCGGTTAATACGACAAAATTTCGCGTCATTTCACTGGTGGAAGTTTGACAAATGTCATTGAATAATCGCATTGAATTGTCAATTATAATATCACAAGAGCATACAAAATAATCGATTATACTACCGAATAACGAGACGAATGATCCGAAACACCACGAGACCGAAGGTCGAGTGGTGTTTCAACGGATTATTCGTCGAGTTACGAGGTAGTATAAAAATTATTTTTTTCACTACTAGCGTCTGATGACATGGTTATTAACCTTTTTTCCACTTGTAAAGTAGGCTTTCTCGGCATTTGTTCAAAGTGGTTAATAATTTTTTATTATTAACTAGTAGTCAATAATGAGAACTGTCACGCTGTCACTTTTAGAAAACACAACCCGAAATTTCGCTCAATAAACGTTTAGACAAGTTCTCTAAAAAGAATAGTTGCCACCATCAGCCATTTCCAGAGAAATTACATACCTAAAATTATCACATTTTGAAAAAATTCGAACGAAATTACTCTTTGAAAATATCTCAATAACAGAACAAAATACGGCCTGTTTGACTTGTACTTCTACGCACTTGATTGACATGTTAAATTAATAAACAAAAAATTCTGTCCAACCGTTCATTTTCTTATCAATATAATATGTTAATTTAGAGGATTTCAAGTGCTAGTAGTGAAAAAAATAGTATATATACCACGGTAGAGAAGTCTATTATTGCCTTCGCACCTTACATCCCTCGGCGCAAGCGCCTCGAGATGTAATCTTGGTGCTCAGGCAATAATACTGTACTTCTCTACCTTGATATATAATGTACTATTGTAATGCTCGAGTGGTATTCGACACGATTATATAATGAATAGAATTTTATTTTGACAGTTATTGTTATTGTCATCAAATATAGTGTATACTAGATTTATGACTTTAAATGACATAGCGAAAACACCAAATCGATTATATCACGTCGTCAAGGGTATAATCGCTTATTAATGCATTGGTATCTAAGGAAAGTGGAAGTTTTGATTGGCTCAATGTCGTATGAATGATATAATCGCTGAAATACCACACGTGAAATTATCACTTATAATTGCACAAGAGGTTTGTATTTTACCGAGTAAATTTGGGTTGTTTAGGTAATGAAAATCTGTTGCCTAGCAATTAGACGAGAAAAACTGTCAACTAATAAAAATGCGACACCGCAGGTGGAGCATTTTTAGGTTGACAGTTTTTCGAGTCCAATTGCTAAAAGGAAACAGATTTGAATTGCCACAACCCAAATTTATTCGGTTTAAATACAAACCTCGAGTGTAATTCGGCAGGACAATTTAACGAACAAGAAATTCACCAAACTAATCAATTATTGACAGACGTCAAACTAGTCATATGGGTAAGGATAATGCGATTATTGGTTCGAAAATGAATAAGTGAAAAAACCACTAGTGCATTTGTCGCTGGAAAAGTTGCAGGTAACTTTTGCCGCTGTCAAAGTGACAATTACACTGCGGCTTATGTGATTTTTTATACATGAGTTGAATTGTCGCTGAAATACCACACGTGCAATTATCACTATAATTCGTTCCCATTGGCGCAGCAATTTGAAATCGAGACATTTCACTGGTTGAAATCTGACAAATGTTAGATGAATTGAATAGTCAGGATTATTTTTCACATTTAGTTGTCGACCAATGAAAATGCCGTATTCAAAGCTACTTGAGATTGTCTTTTCGAGATAAAAATTGAAAGATTTGCGAGGTGTTGGCTGATACAAAGATGTTCCTGTAGGAAAAAATTATATGGGCAACTGAATTAACGATTCTGCAAAATGCGCTACAAGCAGATAACAAATCACTCGAGCAGGGCCACTATTGTATCCACAGTTGCAAAATCTGGAGTTGGAGAGCAGCAAATTATTAAAATTACAGGACACTCCAATGCTAATTTAATAAAACCATACTTGCAGCTAGACAAGGAGCATCATGAACAAATATTAAAGAAAATGCGACAAGTTGCAGTGAATTCGGCTGCCTCGCACACGCTATAAATAAGGCGCCTAAAACAAGCAGAATGTTTACAACAACTGCACCTTCAATTGCACTTATCTAATAGAAAACTATAAAGACAAGAATTGGTGAAGTGGTTTACTTTCCAAATGTGAAAAATAATCTAGCCAAGTAATTAGTGATTTTTTTAAATGCAATCCATTTATAATACCAGTATTGTTCATACACTATGTACAATGTACAATATACGCGCCTCCGCCTAGACGTGCACGTGGACGACAAAAATAACTTTGGCGTTCATAGAAAGCTTACGGCACTAAAGAACAAAATGCATTACTACGATCCAATGCTTGCATACCGGTGAGCTTAACTGAAAATTGTAAAAAAGCTTATAGGCAAACATAAGGGAAACCGGGACGTTTTCTAGTAATTCCTGTAGACTAAAGTGATACGACGAAGTATGACGTAGATCAATCACGATTAATTAGGTACATATAAAACTGAAATTTGTGACCAAATCGTTTCATTCAGTTGATTTTCTTCGTACAGTGAAGTTCCTCATTCGTTGATCTATTACCTACCTCTCCATGTAAGTGGTTTCAGCCAACTTAATTTTATCATTTTAACAAATTTACGCGATGCAGTTAGTTACATTAGCAGCATCTGCTCGCTCAACACTAATAATCGTTGTAATCCTCAATTTAACCCTTATCGTGCCATCGCAATTGGAGTTGCTCCCAGCATCCGCCGTTGAAATGATTATTTTTGTTTTAATTATACCTAGTATCGTTAATGAAAACTCATTTTTCTTTTTGTTACAGAATGGCAGTATTACGGGTGTGTTTAGGAATACTACTTCTGACGAGTATGCTAAATGCAATCGAATCCTCCCACAACCGAGTTTCAGGATGGAAAACTAAACGCGCGGCTCATTATGATCCATGGACGCCTCCGAACATCATGGTGCGAACAACCCCAAATCGAAAACCATCGTCCATGCTTTGGCAGCCCAATCAGGTACAAATACAGGGGCCTTACTACATTCCCATATGGAGATCTCCAGAGAAGCCGACTATCTATTCTCCATCTCAGGCCCTCTATTTAAACCCCGGTCTTATCATTAATAACAAGTACCTGCCGACAGCTGGGAAAAACACTATCGTACCCATACCCACCGATTACAAATTGGTAGAAGATAGACCAATTTGGGGTACGGTCGACGAGCCCGCAACTCCCGTAACGGTGAAACCCACAAGAAAATCGAGGTTTCAGATAACCCATCGGCCCTTAGTAAAACCGACCGACAGCAAAACCACGAACAACGCGATTACGGTGGTTGAAAACCAGCCTCCTGCACCTTCAATCGGGAGTCAACCCAGCCGATGTGTCTGGGCCATCATATCCTGTTGTTCGGCATCATCCAATACAGTCAGCTACGATTGTTTCGAACAGTTAGGGTGTAATGGGCCGTTCTGGGACAACAGCCCTTGTGACGGTGGGTTCGCACGCCCAGCTATCTCGACTGCTATGAACTATTATCAAACAAGATAAACAGTAATGTTTATTTATAGGCGGCTACATGTTCCTTCCAGAGAACTATCTGTAATTATAGTAATTTATAACTAATCATTTAATTTGAAGATGTCCAGTGATAATATCATTAATTTTAAATCGTTCGGCTCTTTATGTGAATGACGTAAAGATCCTCTCCTTGTTTAATAAAACTTATTTTATTTCATAGTTCATATTACACTCTCGGGATAGCATGGTTTCCCAATACGTCATTGGGATTCCTTTTGAGTTTCCATAGAGGTATTTCAAATTTCAAAAACAAAGATAAACGGCACTGCTAATATAACTTGTGTTTTTATAATTTGCATTTAAACATATTTTACTTAATTTAATATTTTTGAGGCAGTGCTTATATAATTCCGAGGGAATAATATTTTCATGCTATACGTTGTTAAACTAAAACCTGAGATTTTTTCCCGACACATAATAAAGCTACAAATGAAGTTTTCCATACATATAGGCCGCTTTGTATATCTTGTGCCATTATTTTTGTGGGACCACTTGTTTTCTACAATCATTTATACGGAAATTTGAGTTCCTCTCTTCTCTGGACTAATTATAATTTACCCCTTCTAAAGTATAGGTCAGTTAGACCCTTGTCCCATTTAAATTAAAATAAAAATGAGAGTTGCAACTCCTAGCACACGGTTAAAGTTACAAGAATTATTTTTGCATAAAAATTGGACCCACTTCGACATCAAAAAATCAAATTTTTGTAAACCCATTTGTTGTACCGAGTTTTGGGGTGATACAAATTTATGTTGGGACAACATTATTGTAAGACAATTAGTCACAAACCAAGTGAAAAAACGAGGGGGTGAAATGACCCACCCTGTAAAACGATATTGCTATATGAAAAAGTGCCGTTTTTAACACATGACTGCATGAGAGAACTGATGTAAGTGAGAACCAAAGATGGGCAACTACAACAAAAAATTCCCGTACGGCATTCTGCAAAATGAATTGTATAAAAAAAATACCAAGCCGCTAGAGACGTACACAAATAGTGGTTTTCAAAAAATTCTTGAGGCATAAAATGAAACTGTCCAATTCACCGCCTCTGTCTACGTAGATTCATTATTTCGTAACGTGCCGGCCGTACATATTGTAAACTACCCCACGCGGACGTTTTATTAGGCATCAGCGTCCACAGTAATGTTGAGTCACCCCGTATAATGCGAATTTCAATAACAACGACATGGACCACAGATTTGATCATAATTTATTTATTTTATTGTTCACATAAAATTGTGTGAAATGAGTGAAACGTAAAGTTTTTTACACATTACAACTTGTTAAATTTCAGCATTAACTCCCTAGTGGGTCCACTAAGGGAGGAGAGCGATAAGCATCCGAAATCTCTGGTCTACCAAATAAAAAAAGCGACAGAACTAGGTTCTCTTTTTTGTGCCTACACACCCTAGCAACATTCAGCATAATATGTTAATTGAGTAATTTCAATACGACCCTTTGATTTCGAGCACTAAGTATAATTGTTAACAATATCTAGACGCATCTCTTGCGCTTCAAATACCTTACATAACCCTTCATGATACTCCTGAAATATGTGCAAACCTTGTTGTGAGGGAAATAGCTGAAATATTTGTAAACATAACTAATTTGTGTTCATAAGGCTAGGATATTGATTTTGCAATGTAAAGGACGGAAAACTGTCCTTCTTGAAGCACCTTTTAAGTTCCGTTCTGTCTGTAGAAAGTTTTATTTTACTTCTCCTCTTGCTTTCTTTCGCGTTATTTATTTAGGAGAAAATCATCTTTCGTTTCAAATCTGATTGCAGAACCGGAACGTAAATGCCGCAAGTGTATTTAGTCAATTTCCGTCACAGCTACCATTTAATGAAGTAAGTCGCCCCGAACGATTCTTTAAAAAACTGATTGCAATATAATAGAAAATGTTACCGCTATCCACAAATTAGTGAGCCGTTGTATAGCAATTACCTACCAAGGAATTTAAACGTGTCTTTAAATTAACAAACGAAAAGAAAGGAAGAGAAGATACAGCAATATGGAAGCAGTATTTCCTAATTTCATTCGATCAGCGAATTCATATAAAATCAATGTGGAATGCCGATTTATGGACCATCAATTTTAATTGCAATATTAAATTTTATGTAAGAATGAAAATCATTTTTAAATCACTTTCATAACGGTAAGGTTACACCGAGAAGACATAAATCACTTCAAATCTATTAAAATATTAGAACCTTTTTTATACTGTGTAACGATAACGGAAATACTGACGTCAAAATCAATTCTGTACAAACACCAAGAAATAGAGGATAAAGTTTTATGAAAAAATATTACTTAATTGTACCATTATGGTACAGTGGCGACTTGCTAGCTGTTACATTTATATAAATTACCGGCAGTCCGATTCAAATACCCTTCAAATTTATACTAAAATAAAAAGAATTTTTTTGCACTTATATACCCTATACTATATAGAGAAGAAAGTAATACCAAATATCATTATCATAATTGACAATAGATAACAACCTCAAAAGATGGTGATATCTTGAACTAACTTGCTAACGTCAGTCGTCCAAGATCTTCACGTTGTTTATTCTTCAGATATATTACAGTCAATACTTAGGTACACAGTTTACCTACTGCAGATAGCTGAATTGCACATTTTGCGATTGTAACGAGACGGAACTTGATTGAAAATTGTATTTCCGTTTTATTGCAGTAGCAATCAACATTTATTTACTTTTGCGTCCGAATCGTGCAATCAGCTTAAAAAAGATTTGAAACTATTAGAATTCTGTCTACACACTCGCGCAAACGCCAGCCAGTGCAATTATCTACGTTTCGTACGCTTTCCTATTCGATATAAGGACCAGTATCTTGTAACGTACAAGTTACAAGTATTGATGAAACTTTGAAACAAAAAAAAACGAGTATGGAGTGTTTTATTGTTGCTTGAAAGCTTTCAAAGAAGAAAAAACTCCGGATGTAGCATTTTGTTCTGTTCCAATATAACTTAGTCACCCTAAAGCAGCATAGGTTAAACAATAACACCTTATTTGCCTAAATTACTCACTATCACGCCAAAAGAAAAGAGAAAAATAATTAAAGCTTGGTCGTTTGATTTTTGCATATCCCTACGTGTCTATATATATCGAATGAATTAAACTGATACAATTAAGGGTACATTTAAGCGATCATTCGGTTAATCGACCACTTTCGTTTCCACATTAGTGCGGTTATCCGCAAATATTCGGTTAAATGTTAATAAAAAAGCGGCAGATCACCTCGGTGTGACCCTACGGAGTTATCGACTTTGGGCTTGGGCTTATAGATCAATTGTGCACAGTTTGAACCTAATCGGTCCAAACCTGCGATTTGCAGTTATGGTCTTCACGGACAAAGGAACAGACGCACACCATCGACTCCCCTATAAAGCTTTGCTCTGCCGCTAAATAACCTATTAGCAGTGAATATACATTACCTATAGAAGCGTTAATTGGTTACTTGCCGGTTTATTATTGTTCAGTTTGCTGAGTAACCATAAACAGCACTAAGGCTGGTAATAAAAGTAGTTGACAAAAGTCTGACAAACGAATATTAACCAATTGGTGAACATTCTGGTCAGTTTTATGCGTATTTTTCTGTTATGCCGAACTTCGAAAATCGGTAAATTAAATTAAATGTAGTACTTTTACCAAGGCATAATGAAATTATAATAGGCGTCAAAATCGAAATGCTATTTTTGTTGATTTTTCAATAAATGTGAATAAATAAACCATCTTTTTAAAACCATTTGTATTGACAGCAGTTTATCGCTCAGTACTGATTTGACTCTTGCGCTTATGACACTTACCGCTATCTGAACGTTGACTGCTACACTTCTTATCTCCTCGTCCCATAATAAGCTCCTCCACAAATCACACTGAAACAAAAAAAAAATAAGCACACAAAATCTCGGGAGTGCAATTTTTTGGAATGAACTTATTGCATTCAACCAATTTAATTTTCGAGTCAAGTAATGTCATTTTACTGACGAGGTTTGTATTAAATTTTACCGAAATCGTATTTTAATATAAAATTTTAATTCTCATATAGAACATTTGATTACAGGAGTCATTACAGGCATTTAGCAATGTGACAGGTGCGGCCGGAAAAGTGACAGATGCGACCATTAAAGTGACAGGTGTGGTCGGTAGCAGGAAAAGTAGTCTGCTCTAAAGTTTCCTAACATAAAGTAGGCATGAAAATGAAGGTTCCATGACGATTTTGGGTAACATTTTTATACGCTGGGGGTGGGTACAAATAATTTGTAGGCCCACACTTGGGTGCGTGCCTGTCTGCGAATTACACAATAAACTTTTTTTTTAATTAGTTCTAAAGTGTTATTGTCAACTTTTGTTAAGTATAGATAAATTCCCTTGCCGTTTGTTTTAAAGTTAAAACGAAGTTAAATCCCTAGGAAGTATAATTCAAAGCAACTTAGCCTTGCAGATACTTGTATCCGCATTAAAAAAGGCAACCATCGACTTTAAAAAGTAAATCATTTCCAATATTCGTTAAGCCTTTCGTTTTCATAATTTTCCACTGCACATTTAACACGTCGAGTTTATTTCCTCGCCGAAAAACGTGATTCGTGTAAGATAATGTAATAATTTGGTTTTCTTTTTCGCTGGAAGTAAACCGGGAAATTGCCATGGAAGTATTTTCGTATAAAAAAAGGGCGAACGTCGAACAGAATTTCAGATTCTAAAGCGACTAATCCTTTTGCCCGTCACATAATCTTACATCTACAGCTAAGTTTATATTGGAAGGAAGTCGAGGACGGTATAATTGCTTAGTATTTCGTGTTGTTTTTCTCTGCTTGGTTTTTAGACGATAATAGAAGATTTATTACAAATGTATATCCAACGTTAATAATTTATTCGTTATACGTAGAGAGAAAGGTTTTTATCGATTTTGGTGTAAAAGGAGGCAGTGCAAAGCTTTTGCATCAACTGTTGACGTCTGGAGAATTAAGAGGAGATTTAAGAGGCGTCTTGAGATTTATTAAACTGAAATAAAAGTCTACTTAATACGTCGATCAAGTTCTTGTGTTAAAAGTGATTTCTGATGTTTTGTATTATTCTACACTCGTATTTGAGTTAAATCAATTTTATTTAATTATAAAAGCCGAATCTTTCAACACCAAAAACTGAAATTGGAAAAGCTCTAGCGAGGTGAAACCAGTGGAAGAATAAATAAATACGGCGTAACGTAGGTACGTCAAATTACCATTGATTAGTGTGATAGCTAACTACTTCTAACCAAAGATCATAGTGTAGTATGATCTCTGTTCTGATTACAAAATGATGTCAAAATGGACAAGATATATAGGCGAGGCGAGGAAGCCATCCAAGTTTTGAAGTATGTGGATGCCAGGCACGATCATAAATAATATGTATTTTTCATGACCTTATTGAACTTGAACTTAATTGTATAATTTCTGAATTTCCCAAGTAAAAAAATTCATTAATTCATCTACCTATTGGTGCTTTTGCACGGCTGAATAGGACAAGCAATGCTGAAGATGCCCGCAGGGTTCGGATATTCATTACCACGCATCGTGATTAAGCTTAATAGTATATTAAGTATGGAGAACGGTAAGGGATTTTTACCGTTCGAAGACAATTGTTTGGAGGAGGAGCGGAGCGACGACTCCAATTATTGTCTGAGAACGGTAACCCTTAACGTTCGACGTGCTTATAACATTTTTTGCGCGATCGAAATTAAAATTATTCAACCAATATAAATATGCACTAAGAAATTAACGAGCAGAATAAATCGAAATGATCGAAGTGGTATGGTGTATATCACTAGGTAACCAGTTTATTTGTCAAAATTGAAATTAATAATTTCATAAAATTGTGCATGTGTCTGATGTAGTTTGCTAGCTTTGCACTTCCTTTATGACTTTATGAGCCAGGTATTTGCCGGTGGCCGAATGGTATGTCGAAGATTAAATTAAAGATTAAATGTAATGTAAGACTGTTAACATTGAACTGATTGTTTTTAAAAAGGCGTCGGTAAGTATTTTTGCTGTTCTGTTTTCAGATCGGTAAGTAATTTTGGCGTCGTCGTAATCATAGCAACTGGTAAATTCCACTTACTGTCATGGAAACACACATGGTAAATAGTCAGAAATGACCGATCGCGCAAAAAAATAAGTTTATGGTGTTTAGAATTTACTATTTTTATGTGTTTAGAACTGTCTCATCAGTTTATATCATTAACCGCTTTTAACAAATGTATTGCAATAGGTGTTGAAAATGTACAAAACCAATAATTATTACCTAGGTATAATCCTCTGTTATGCCCCATGGCGTTATATTTTCATCGCCTAATAAAATAAAGTCAAACTGTTAAAGTGTTTCATTTTACGAGTATATCGCGCACAGAAAAATCCGTAAAAGTTGAAAAGACCCTTTTTGTGTAAACTTGTTGAGTGCAGTATGGTGGTTAATTTGTGATAATCCCTCAGGGGAAAATTGTCCACTAGCCCATAAGTGCAAGTATTAGGAGCGTAGTCATTTTATTCTTTTTGACGAATGTATCGCGGTTGATGACAAACAGCAATTCTTTTCGAAGCAAAAAGATTTTTATATTCGTCAATCGCGATAAATTTGCTTAGCCTACCACGAAAAATGAAAATAAATAATGTCATAATTCGTTTATATGTATTGAAATAAATAATCATATCAACTCAAAAAGAGCATTTAATAAAGACATGCAGGGTTTCCATTAGAAATTATGGACCTTTGTACCATAAATCAAAAATTGTAGCTGGCGTGAATAATTCGTTTGCAGCTTATGGTGGAATTATTTTTTATGAGCTGTCGTGAATCCAAACGAAGAAACTTGTCCCTGACTTTCCTGAAAATATCGCCATATATTTTAATCACTCAGTTATTAAAGAATTCCACCCGAAAAAATTAAACCAAGTATGTCCCGTCATATTTTATTGTGTCCTTGAATTTTACTGTATTTTTAAATTTTATGTTTATGAAAGATGTCGTCTATGTACCCGGTAAGTACGCAAATCAAATCAAAATTTAAAAAAAAATAAGAAAAACTTTTCTAATTAAGAACTTATACATGTTTTCATTTAACTTATTTAATCCTAACACAAAATTCCTTAAGCATAGCATTTAACTTAAAGACCAGTTTGCAGATTAGGTTTTACAATAATATGCAAGGCAATGTCGCATGAACAAAATATCTCCACTCTAATAATGTTATGTTAGATATTGAAAGAAATATGTCATAAAGCGGCACATTAATCTCGTGTTACAGGATCAAAATGTGAATATCACTTTCACCCACGATTTACTTTAAAGTAATTTATTCATAACTGACATGACTGAAAACGTTAATTAATAAATTAACATCCAAAAACTTCACATTACCTACATCGCCTGCTGTTGGAAACTACTTTGGACTCCCAAACGTGCGATACAGCTTCAATAGAACCTAAACAAATTCAGTATTTGTATTGCTAATATTTAGCAATGATTTTGCATCATACCTGATGCAAATTATTATTCATATGGATATGGATATATTCATATTTTTTATGCAAATAGATCATGTATTTTTGCAATATAATTACGAAAGGTGTAGCTACTTCTTAAGACAGCATAATACGCTGTTTCCCAAAGCTTTCACGTTAATACAGAAAAGTTGCAAAGCATGCATACAAGCTGCCAAAGTGGATAGTAAAAGTTGAAGTGGTACAATACCAACCCTTTGAGGCTAAGAAGATAACCTAATTTAGAAGTTATTAGCATCGTTAAAGTAGGATTATGTAGCAACAAAGTTTCGTTCGTTCTCAAAGAAGGTATATTCGAATCCGAGACTGACACTCAAATGACATTTTAATAAAGACGTGGGTAAATAGGTACTTTCGAAATAAGTAAGCAGCGCTTTAACAGAAAATATACCTACAATATGAAAATCCCTATACCTACGCAACTGTTTCTTTTCTTATTAACGTTATCAAAAGTTCGGTCTTAAACCTTAACGTTGGAGCAGAATATGTTGTTTGAAACGTAAATTTGTTCGGTGGAAATTTAGTAGCTTGTACTTTGCTCTACAAAGTAATTTACGATTAGAGACGGTGGATGTAATGAACCCCCAGCCTCTGATGCAACCTAATTTGCCCTGCCTATATAACGTAACGATTGTGATGATCTCAAAGTTTTATTCTTGGGTTCGGTTACGTCCCTATCGATCCTTTCGGTTTAAATTAAAAGGGTGAACGGATGACTATGATAATTACTTTTAATTAAAATAAAAGGTCACATTCAATTCGTTTTGTTCAACTTTTATCGCCGCCGATTAACCTCTTTAAGTGTAATTGGATACCTTGTCAGAGGAAGTAAAATTTGGTGTTTCGGAACGGACTACCGATGTATTTCCTACGCCATTTCGCCAAATTAATAGAAAGTAAAACGCTACCCACCCACACGAATGCGGCGTTGTGGTTTGGAATTTTATAATTTTCTCCCATCGAAACATAGTGTATAATGAGTAGGTATATTAAAATACAAAAGTATTCTAAAGCGACCTAATTGTAATACGACTATGGTAAAGCGACGCGAAGTCACGAGTGCCCACAAGGTAGGGGATTTATAACAGTTTTTAAACGCTCTAATTAATAACATATCTCCGCCATTACTATTCCACAATTAAATATACGCGTTGAAAAATTGAGTTGCGAAAGGGAATTATTTTGCACGAAATTATACATTCTCGTTTTGGCGTCGGAAGAGTTAAAGTGTTTCGAACAGCGGCCTTTGAGCTTAAAATCATTTAAATTGACGTTCGGAGGTAACCGAGCTTATAAAAAACCGTTAATTAGTTTTCAAAGCGCCCGTTAATGTCCAT